TATATATGTATATATCTACAATATCATTATCATTGCGTTTCTCGATCTTGCCGTCTATCACAACTGTGCGTACAAACGAGTTCCCGGTGCAGCTTAATTCTCTTTACCAAACTCTTCCTTGCTTAGTTGTCTTTGACCAAGTGATTTCTCTCTTCCTGTCAAAACCTCTAATTCTAATCACTACAATACTAAATCAATCGATTGATACGAACTGCCAGTTTTTCTCAACACTATTGCATCAAGAAATCCCGTAGTAACTTCAACAACAGTTTAATATCGCACTGATACGACATACATATATATCTACTATATCATTTAATTCCGTAGCGCTCTGAGGAGATTGGCACGGGTCGCGTCGACTTTAATGAGTACGGACAGCGCAGTTTCTTTACGCTGCGCTTCATGGAGATCGATGCCGGTGGATTTTTGGATCTGGCCACCTGGGATCCGGTCAATGGCCTGGACAGGCTCAACGATGACGAGGAGAGCGAAAAGCGCGTTGGCCAAAAGTTGTCCAACAAAACATTTATCATCTCCTCGCGCATCGGAGCACCCTTCCTGACGCTGCGCGAGCCCGAAGAAGGCGAAATATTGCAGGGCAATGCGCGCTACGAGGGCTACTCCATAGATCTGATCGATAACATTGCGCGCATGCTGAACTTCAAGTACGAATTCCGCATGTCTCCAGATGGTAAATATGGCAGCTATAACAAAGTCACCCAGACATGGGATGGTATCGTGAAGCAGCTGCTCGATGGGGTAAGTAGGAACTAAGCTTCAGATACCGTGATCCTTATATAGATATATGTAGATACGCTGATATATGTATGTAAAGAAATATATACATGTATTCAATTCTTTTGTAGAACGCAGATCTGGGCATTTGTGATCTGACCATGACCTCGAGTAGGCGTCAGGCAGTGGACTTTACGCCGCCTTTCATGAATCTGGGCATTAGTATTTTGTTCTCGAAACCACCAATACCACCGACGGATCTGTTTTCGTTTCTATCGCCCTTCTCGCTGGACGTTTGGATCTATATGGGCTCTGCGTATCTGTTTATATCGCTATTGCTCTTTGCCTTGGCTCGCATGGCGCCCGATGACTGGGAGAATCCGCATCCTTGCAAGGAGCCGGAGGAGGTGGAGAACATTTGGTTTCTGAGCAACACAATGTGGCTATCCATTGGCTCGCTTATGGGTCAGGGTTGCGACATATTGCCGAAGTGAGTAGATTTCTAATGAATTAGTTAAAGCAATTGAAAATTAATTTATTTTTTTATATTTCGATAGAGCCGCCTCAACACGTCTGGTGACTGGCATGTGGTGGTTCTTTGCCCTGATGATGTTGAACTCCTACACAGCTAACTTGGCTGCTTTTCTGACCAACTCGCGACAGGCCAGCTCCATTAATAGTGCCGAAGATCTCGCGGCCCAGACAAAGATCAAATATGGCGCTCTACAAGGCGGTTCCACAATGGGCTTCTTCAGGGACTCCAACTTCAGCATATATCAGAAAATGTGGACTGCCATGGAGAGTGCACAGCCATCAGTATTTACTAAAACAAATGACGAAGGCGTGGAACGAGTGCAAGTAAGTTTCAGAGCATAACCATAAAATACTACGCACTGATCTGCAGCTCAAGTATTTTTATTATTTAACAGACTAGTTATGCATCATTTAACAAACAAAAACACACTATTCATATCCTCATCCATTCTAGTTTACTGTTCTCCACACATACAAGCACCCATTTGTATTTACACTCAGGACAGCCATCTTTCTTAACTAAAGGCGAACGTGCTTGGCGAGTGCAAGTGAGACAAGCTGCAAGTTAATATAGTCCGCATTGCTGTTTAATGTTGATCTTCAGCGCAAATAACATGCGCAAAACAGAGACAACTATAGTAACTGCTTTGTGTGTTCTCAAGTTCTCCATTTCATTAAGCATACAAAATTATGTACTTGTGTAGTTATGTACACACGTGTGGATGTAAGCAAGGCTTTGTTTGTATTTACGCAATATATGCAACCTTCAATATTTTTACACAGTTACATACATGTAAATACAGTGGTCAAATAAAGTTTAAGCCCAACAATTTTTATTATGTTATTACACGTTAAAAAAAAATAATAATAATAATAAAAAATCAATCAACCATGCATATAAATAATCATTGTTAATTAAATGGTATTCTCAATAATCAATGTTGACTTAAGAAGTAATTGCGCCCACTGTAAATACAGACAAAATACAAATAGAGAAGACGAGTGACAAGCGATTACCGCTTTTTCTTTGCAATGACTTTTAGACTCTCTGAGAGCGAGAGCGAAGTAGTGATGCCTATTCTTCAAGACTTGGCAAGCCAATTAGTATTATAGCTAGAAAAAGCTAACTAAAAATTGTAAGACTAAGAATCGCAAGGCGCGAAAAAGGCCAGATTTATGTAAATAAGTTATGCTCTCTCTATATTTCTTCTATATTAATTTAACCGCTTATCTTGCCATTTGAAATTACATAATATCAACTACAGCTGCTTAATATATATTTTCTCGTTATTTATATATATCTCATTCCAGAAAGGAAAAAATATGTACGCTTTCCTAATGGAGTCCACCACACTGGAGTACAATGTGGAGCGTAAATGTGATCTGATGCAAATTGGCGGCTGGTTGGATTATAAGAGTTACGGCATCGCAATGCCCTTTAGTAAGTGAATTTGTGGCGTAAGCCAAGTGCAGCGGGTTAAAATTTCTATGCTTGTCTAGATTCACCCTATCGCAAACAGATCAGCGGGGCCGTCTTGAAGCTGGGTGAACTGGGCGTGCTCGCTGAGCTGAAGCGCAAGTGGTGGAAGGAGATGCATGGCGGCGGCAGCTGCAAGGGCGATGACGAAGGAAACGCTGATACTCCGGAGCTGGGCCTGGAGAATGTCGGCGGCGTATTTCTGGTCTTAGGACTGGGACTGATGTCCGCCATGGTGTTGGGCTGCACAGAGTTCTTCTGGAACGTGAAATCGGTGGCCATCGAGGAAAAGGTAAATAGGAAACAAATCTATTGAAACCTCTTATTCTCCAACAATTTTTTGTTTGTTTCACAGATCTCACTGAAGGAGGCCCTCAAGGCGGAGGTGATGTTTGCTTTGCAAATTTGGATCACCACTAAACCGGTGCATACAAGTGTCGGGTCGAGTTCTTCGTCTTCCTCTTCGTCTTCCGGCTCTTCATCCAAGTCAAAAGCTTCTAAATCGCATTCGACACGCTCAAAGCACTCATCCAAATCCTTGGGCCTATCCAGCAAAGATCACGATGCGGATTCCTCTGTGCACAGCAAGCTCAAGAAGATTGGATCCATGTTCTCGCTTAAATCTCAGAAGGCAAATTCACCGCCGCTTGAAATTGGTTGGAAGTTGGATAAATCTACTCAAATGAGTGTTGCATCAACGCCACGTGATGAGGTGGAGGAGGAGCCGGTGGTGGAAGAGGAGCGTCCTGCTGAGCGACGTCATCATCATCATCATCACCACCATCATCATCATCGCCAACATCAGCAACAGGATCAGTCGATGGATCAGCGTGCTAGCAAATTGAGCAATGTAGTTTAAAGATTTTTTTTATCGGTTTCCGTTATTCAAAGAGTTCTTAAGCCATTTAGACTTATTTGTCGGAGTTTCTCAATAACACTAACAACAGTACACATACACATAGAACATAAATCCACTCAATTTCGTATTTGCTTTTTCGCTCATTCACACGAGAGATTTAAGCAAAGTGCAATTGAAGACAATGGCTGCTCTGCAGCTCACTCATACTTCTTAACATTGAATTCAGCTCAATCTCAATTGCTCTCTCAAATCAATGCATGCATGTGTGTAAATGTATGTGTGCATAAACAGCATAACTTAGAAATAACAATTGACTGCTTGATTCTTTTCGATCTGTTCAGCGAAATCACTCTCTCTCTTTCTTTCTCTCCCTCTGAGCAAGTGGTTTCAATTATTTACGTTGTGGTGTTCTGTGAGTGCGCTTGATGCTCCCACAATAAGACTCAAAAATGCAATGCAAACGGTTAACAGTTAATTGCGAGCTATGATAAATAGCAATGAGACTCACTCAAGAGCAAAGTGAGAGTGAGTGAGCAGCATTGCAATTAAGTGAGTTGCTTTTTGGTGCTTACATTTTCTTACAGTTTCTTTGTATGTGAGCATTGCTTGGAAGGTTAAGAGTTGATTAGATGAGGTTTTAGCTGCTGCATAAAAGCATATGTATGTATGTATGTATGTACATGCACACATGCATATGCGCTGTTTATTCGCTTATGCCTACAGAAATTTTAGGATGTTTGTTTGGCCTGTTGTATGGTTACTGTAATACCCGACTATATACAAGTTTTTGAATTCACTGCTTAAAACTCAAAAGCTTAAAAAAAAATAAATAAAATAAATAATAATATGCATTTACAAAGAATTTTGAAGTCGATGAAACAACATTTAATATGTATTTGATAAGAGAATATAAATGGCTTAAAAATCTCTTTGATTGGTGGTAGAGCTTCCCAAAAAAGTATTACAAATAACTATTTAATTTGTTACGCCCCTCTAGAAAAAAAAACACTATTATTTATTTCAGTTTTTGCAGCTTAATTTTGTATTTTTTTCTCTTGCTTTAGTTTTGAACATTTGTTTTAGAATTTGTTGCTGTAATACAATTTGTTTTAAGTTAATTGATTGCGAATCTCAGATTGTTTATCTTGTAGTGTTGTATATCTAAATTTCATTGATATTTTGAATATTTCGTTTACCTTAAAGCTAACATTTTTATTTAATACTTAGTCGATATTTTAAAATTTTTAAATATTTGCAATATTTTATATTTTTACTGTTACACATATATAATATTTACTTGCAAAGCTAATTGAATACGTTTGTTGTTGCTCATTGTTTAAGGTACATTAGTTGATTATCTTTCTCTCCGACAGTTCGCCTTTTTATATTCTTTTTTTTTTTTTT